AGATATAGTACATCTGAATTCCATACATACTACTCGCATGCATACTATATAGAAGATACTTTTCTAACGGTCGTGTAGTAAATACTAATTGAATAACTTCTTGAGTAGGAGGATATCTCGGATGCAGACTATTTCTATTTCTACTACAAGTGTTCTTTGTCTATTGGTAAATATAGAGTGTATCAATAAATTTACTGTTAGGTAAAAATACTTACATAGTTTCACACATGAACACAGCAAAATAGACCAATGAATGTCAATAACCCTAAGCCATTTTTTTTTAAACTTCTTTTAGGGTATTTGGGAATTCAGATGAACTCCACGGTTCCCTGCTTTTTAGTGACCTGTGCCAATATTGTAGTGCAAGTGAGATAAGCAGTATACCACTGAGAGAAGGAACTTTCTTGAGCTAATATCAGTGTGAAAGGTCAAACTGATAAGCTTAGAAAATCACAGAACAAAAACAGCAGAGCAAAAATATGAGGCGAGTAGGAGTGTGAGTGCAGACGGCCAGATAAAGAGATGGTGTGATGGTTGCAGGGGAGAGAGAGAGAGGGAGATGTGACAGGCTGTTTAATATAGATCCCCCAGTCTGATAAAATTGACAGGAGGTTCCCATTCCCTGTAGAGCAGCGACTCATAGGAAATTGCCAGAATGAAAAACAGAAAAAGGGAGGAAAGATTACGTGACTGACACAACTCATTACTATTTTTCTTCTCTTTTTTTAGGATTCGTTACTCAGCTTAAGAAGTATTTGAACGTGTTGTATTATATTTGGTGTGGTAACTTAATGATTAATGTAAAAAGGGATCCTGAGGGGTCTCTTTATTGCACTTCACATGGTGTGAATGCTGTAACTCAACACTGTGCGTATCTGAATTGAGTGCAGAGGAGTGTTTGTTCAGGCTCTGGGGTTCAGAGGCCCAGGCTTCACATACAATATATAGATTAGTGCTTGATGACAGAAGCACAACATTACAGCCTGTCACATGGCTCTTATTGCACCTCCAGATTCTGAGATGCATGTGACTCTCTGTGAACTGAAAACAGAATTTCGAATGAGTGGTTTTTGCATGGGGCGACACGGTGGTCCAGGGGTTAGCCTCACAGCAAGAAGGTTGCTGGGTCGAGTCCCAGCTGGACCAGTTGGCATTTCTGTGTGAAGTTTGCATATCTTTCCCATGTTAGCGTGGGTTTGCTATTAATTAAGTGGTAATTATATGTAATGATTGAGAATCATTATTTGCAAATTAAAAACCCAAAGATGATGCTGTTGATTTAAAAAATATCTGAGGTTAGAGATGAGAATGTAGTTTATGGCTTCAACATCACAGAGTACCAAAAGAACAGCAATTTTTGTTTAATGAAAATCTTTGCAACATTATTTGTATATATGTAACATTAATGTAACCTAAGTTTAATGCATAATTTAGAAATAATATTTTATGTAAACAAGGTAAATTTATCTAAATATTAAAAAAAATCACATTATTATTATTACAATTATTGAATTCAAACTAACTTGCTTAGTTAATGGTAGGTTTGGTTGAATTAAAACTAATAAATAACACTAGAATTGACTTCAGCATAAAGCATATGTGTTCAGAAATAGCTGGATTATTTAAAATGTGACTTTTTAAATTGTTGTTTTTTTGTGTGGTATTTGTTTGTACATGTCAAATGTTGCTAAAATATTTACATAAATATTAAACAACTAATGTAACATTATTTTTATTATTATTCGTAATATAATGCTTATTCCTAATATAATATAACATTATTATTATAATATATTTTATTATTATATACTTAAAAATCCAGACTAACTTGGTTATAAGTATAATTAACATCTAACACAATTTTTATATATATGTATTAATGCAGTTAAACAGTAGTATACATAAGTGTACATGTAAAATGCTCTTGAAATATATAGGTAAAAATTAAACTATGTATTAACAGTAAAAAATATTATTGTTGTTATTATAAGTATTATAATTACAAAAGACAACATAAAAATATGTGATTATAGTTGTTCAGCACCTTTAGTTCATTAAAAAAACACCAAAAGGGCGTAATTTCTTAGATGAGATTGAATTTGATCATTTAAGACACTAATGTAGCTGGATTAATTTCAGAGGTTTGATAATGTGTCTGTAAAACCAGAGGTCTTGTAGTTCACAATGTGGAGTTCTCTTCAGGGAATGGATGAGGAGGAAAAACTGATAGCACATGTTAATACCATGAGGAGAAGCTCCTCTGTGACATACTGTAAGTGTGTCTCTGTGTGTGTGTGTGTGTGCGCGCACATCATCAGTGAGCAAGACCTCATTTATCAGTGCCCAAACCCACCTGATAACAGACTCTCAGGAAGGAGTGTGGGATAAATGGGCTTTCTGAACCGAATACAAATGAATTAGCCTATAGAGATTATTCAACTGTAATCAAATTTACTCATTATTTTTATACCATGTTCTCTAAAAATTGCACTTTACAGTTTAAGAGTTTGGAGGCTGCATACTGTAAGTGTTTTTGAAAGAAGTCTATTTTTGCTGCATTGGTCTGATAACAAAATATAATCAAATATTAATATATAATAATAAAATTTAAATTAAATGTAACTTATTTTAAAGCTAAATTCTGTTTAATATATATATATATATATATATATATATATATATATATATATATATATATATATATATATATATATATGAAAGGGAATAAAGCTGTGGTCACACTGCACTTTTCACCCCATAGACTTTCATTTATACGCATGTGAACGTGGCAGACCGGAAATGCAAGCTTCTAAAGTTCAAGCTTGGTAAACTCTGACTTGTTAAATCGCATCACATAATTGCATGAGACCAACTGAAGATCAAAACGTAGCCTTTCTGTACAGAAATTTTAAATATGGAGCAATATCTTGCTTTCTCAATGTCTAATCATCTTGTTTTATCCTGCCGTTTTTTTTGCAGTGGCGTACGACAGAATTCAAACTCAAATAGATCAGGCTCTAGTGTGACCGCAGGTTAACCCTTCAACGTGCACTCCTTGAAAATAATTTTTTTTGGCCCACATTTTTTTGTATTGAATAATATACTGACACAACTCTGATGAAAAAAGTAACAAGCAATTCAAATAATAACGATAACCTATTGGTAAAAGGTCAACCAGGTGGTTATGATGCCTGTTAAAGGGCTTTAAGCTAAAAAAAATTTAGTTTGTGAGGGAAACTTCATGTTTAAGATTTATTGAAGTCAAATATATAATTTAATGCTAAAAAACTACAAATAGAAATGTAAAAAAAATTATAGAAATCCATAATCAGTAAAGACACACATCCATTATTAATACATATACCTTTATTTTATATCTCTAATAATTCATATATGTCTTTGTCCTATACATATTTTCTGTTAACAGTCTTGGAGACGTACATAGATCATAGTTAGACTTTATAAAGTACAATAGATTTTCAATACTTTGATAGACAGAAGAGTAAACTGTTGAGAAAGAAGAGGAAAAATCAGCACTGGACTTAAGCACACACATACAACCTTACACACTCACACACACACACACACACACATACAGACGCACAATATAGACTCAAGTCAAATTCATGCACACACACACTCACTCACTCTGACAGAACTGACCATGGCTTATTTATCTCTACCTCAAAGTACAGCTCAAACAGTCAGTTTGACAGGGAAAATCAACGTCCTCACATTTCCCATTCTACAAATTCAACGAGCACAGACCGCACAAACAGCAAGACTCACAAAATACACATGCACATACTTAGATGTCCAGTCACACCATTTTTTATGAGAAAAAAAAGGCTTGAGAATCGAGGCTGAAGCGTTTAAAACAAGCACATATTTGGTTTCTGCTACTTAGTGTAAAAATAAATATGTAAAAACAAATGCTCAAGCCCCTCTTGATGTTAGCCCCTTTCACACATAGAGTCTTTACAGGTCATTAAAATATAACTTAAACCATTAATTAATCAGTTTATGTTTAGGTGAAAGACGTGTGGCCTTTTTTTATACTCTTCATACGTCTACATAATGTACATGTGTGTTTGTCTACATAACATCACATCATACCATCATGTCATATATGCAAATATGCCCTCAAATACAGAAACTTCATTGGTTATTGTTGCGTTTGACTAATTAAAATAGTCAAAATGTGAATGTTGATAATAAAATGTCAAGTTTTGTTTAAAAACTTTTGGCATCGATGAGCTTCACAGTGATAAAGCGGCTGTTTTGTATGTGATTGTTTATTATGTATGAGTAGACATACAGTTTGACTATGTTGAGGTGCCAATTTTTAAGGTGATTTGATGTCTTATATTTACTTAGTATACAGTTACAACATCTGATGTTGGTGCACATGTATCTAAACATGCCATTGTGTCAACATATGCCCATACAATATAAAACACAACAGTATTTGATTATGCCAAACTGCGCGTTTATGTTTATATGCTTAGTTTTATGCTTATTTAATGCATATAATTTAAAGACATTGGCCCTAATCACCTTCCACATGTTTCATCCAAATACAGTTGAGGTCAGAATTATTACACCCCCTGAATTATTAGCCCCGCTGTTTCTTTTTCCCCAATTTCTGTTTAACAGACAAGATTTTTTCAGCACATTTCTAAACATAATAGTTTTAATAACTCGTTTCTAATAACTGATTTATTTTATCTTTGCCATAATGACATTAAATAATATTTGACTAGATATTTTTCAAGACACTTCTATACATTTGAAAGTGACATTTAAAGGCTCAACTAGGTTAATTAGCTTATCTAGGGAAGTTAGAGCAATTAGGCAAGTTATTGTATAATGATGGTTTGTTCTGTACACTATCGAAAACAAATATAGCTTAAAGGGGATAATAATTTTGACCTAAAAATGTTTTTTTAAATATTAAAAACTGCTTTTATTCTAGCCAAAATAAAACAAGACTTTTCCAGTAGGAAAAATATTATCAGACATACTGTGAAAATCTTCTTGCTCTGTTAAACATAATTGGGTAAATATTTAAAAAAGAAAAAAAATCATAGGGGAAGCAAATAATTCTGATTTCAACTGTAAATATGCAGTTTAACAGCACTGACAATTTCAGTTGACGATTTTTGGTCTTGATCACATTCCATATTTCTTATCCAAATGGATGAAGAAAACAGCGCAGTGTATGAAGGTAATTTTGCAAAGACTGACATCACAAAGTTTCTGTATTGTACTTCTGAATGTTATATTAACATTAAAAAAAGAACACTTGCCTATATGAAAAGCACAATTGTGTTTACTGAAAAGTAATTTACTTTTTAGATTTGTCTGTAAAAGGGGCTAATGAGAAGTTTGCAAGTGGTTGATTCAAAGAACAACTCTTATACTTTTACATTTGGTCCCATCCCTGTAAATGCTACATGTCAGTGGTAACTGGGTAGGCAGACAAAGAGTTCCAGTTGCAAAAAAGCATTATGTGAATTAAATGCCACAAATGTCCTACAAATAAATACACATATGCCCAACAGTCAGATCATATCCTCCAAAAGTAGGCTAAACACTTCAAATCTGTTACATATATATCTATTGGCATGGTGATCAAAGATGCACACACATTCACTCACACACACACAAACACACCTGTGCAATAAAACAAACTGAATAAAATGATTTGGTCCTTGCTTCTGTCATAAAAAATATTTCTCTCTGTAACAGTCCAACATTTACCCTTCCCACATCTGAAATGTAAAAAAAAAATTATATTTACCACATCTTAAAAAATAAAATAAAGGAAAAAAGACAGTATGTTCACAAGTATTGATGGATTCAGTCCCTCATCCACAAACAGCTTCTTTGAATTGCTGTCACAACAATAAAGAAACTAAATAAACACATAGTAATTTTTGGCCTTATGCAAATGCATGTCGTTTCAAAATATACTTGTAAGTGGTCACAAAACCATAACAATCTTTATATATTTAGATAGTATTTAAACAAATGATTGTAGAAAAACAACCCCTTAAAAACTGTATATCTTCATAAAGTAAACTGAACTTCAATGAACAGCTATACACTAACGTTCAAAAGACTAGGGTCGGTATGATTTTTAAAATGCCTCAACATTTATTTAACCAACAGCACAGGAATATTGTCAAACATTATTGCAATAAATTTTTTTTTATGTAATTTAAAATGTAACTTATTCCTGTGATGGAAAGGCTGAATTTACAGCAGTGTTCAGAAATCATTCTAATGTACTGATTTGATCTTACTGATCCCTAACTTGAACGGTAGTGTACATCTATTTAAAAATAGTGGATGGCAAAAAATACAAATGAAGCAACGGCTGTATTTGGAGACCTGGCCTCACCGTCACACAATACAGGTAGCAGACTCCTTTTGGGTGAGGTGTGAAGGGAGGTCGGCCGGGGCTCTTAAAGGGGCCACGGGTCCCCTGTGTTTGTGCTACATGTCCAGCAGAGGACCAAATGCATCACACGGCGTTGGTAATGACAATTGTGTCTCTCTGAGGGCCACTGGAGCCTGGAGCCTCGGGGGTAATACCCTTTAGCAGACGCTATGGGGGTAAGCAGTAAAATTTTTGGAGTGGTACAGCATGACACAAAGGATTTACATTATGAACTATGAAAATATTTAAGCTACAGAAGGGATTTACAGTGCTCAGCTTCAAAGAAGTGTCTTGGAGATTATGATAAATGAATCAAAGGATTTCATAATAAAGTGTTGTGTTGAAACTCTTTCACAGCGAAATAATAAACAGCTGTGAGCTAAGACTCAACTCTGTGAGACACATAATTACTCAGCTGAAACCTGACATGCTAAAGGTTATTGATACTGCAGGATGGAAGCTTGTTTCTGCCAAGGGATAAAAAAATGGCTTCTTATCTTACAGTTATCTTACATTTTCTCTCAGAGTTAGGAGTTTATACATCAGAATTCATGTATTTGTGACTTTAACCTTAGAATTGTAGGATTTACATCTATTGTTTTTAGTTTATCTTAAAAATCTGACATTGAACTCAGTTTATCTCTTAAAATTTAAATGTTTTCCTCTGAATTCTCGCAATTCTGACTTTTTTTTTTCAAGTTCATATATGGCAGTTCTGACATTTTACTCGGATGTCTTTATTTTTTAATATTCTAACTTACTGTATTTTACAATTCAGACTTTCCTCAGAAATGTGAGTTCATATCTTACAATCCTAACTTTTTCCTCAGAAATCTAAGTTTACATCTTTCAATTCAATTCTTTTCCTCACAGGTTTACATATCGCTATTCAGATTTAGTTGATTAAAAAATCAGGCTTGTGAAATTTGAAGTCTGAATCGTGAGATAAAAAGCTGCAAATGCGATTTTTAAGTTGTATCAGAATCAGAAACAAGCTTCCATGCTATCAGTTGCATCACAGAATCAAAAAATATCAATCTTGTCTAGTTTTTCGGCATCTGCCAACAAAACACTCTCAGTGTTACTGAATGCACGTGCTTTGACGCCCTTTGATGTCCATCTTCATGTCTCAAACTAAGTTCACAACATGATCAAGCTGCTGCCTTGCAGCATAATTGTGTTTGTGCTGTCGTAATGTATTTAAGTGTTATTATTATGTCTGTCTTGCTTATCTCGACTTGACAAGATACAGTAATGTATGTGTTTTGATGTTTTTGTCTGTCAAGGCTCACCTGTTGGAAGGTCCCTTTAGTGGTGACCAGATGGTAGACCATGTAGGAAGGCACACAGATGAAGGAAGAGACTCCAATACAGTAACCAAGGACCGTGGTCCAGAAAGGGTACAGGTAATCAAACAGCTTCACTTCAGGAGGGAATGCCAGGAAACTCACAATAATGAACTACAGCCATGAGACAATGAGGGAAAAACAAAAATGTCCTTTCACAAAACTGTATTTGCATAGTGAACATGCTGAGATCTGCCTAGGACAGATGCCTGAAGCACATCTAAAGTTTATTTAAGAGATTAAAGGGATAGTTCTCCTCTAAATTGAAATGTTGGCATCATATGCGCAACTTGTAAACATCTATGACTAACTTTGGAACAAGTAATCATAAAAAAGTGGTAACTTAAATAGAAATGCTAAAAAAAAGTATTAAAAATATGATGTTCTGTAAAAGAAAGTTATAAGGTTTTGGTTTGGAATGTCGTGAGAGTAGTAAAAAATTACTTTTTTTTTAAGAAACCCAAAACTTTCAGATTTTTACTTTTTAGCTCAAACAACAAAGTGTATACCAAAATCATGGGTGTGAATGCAAGGGAATACATAAATAAATAAAACATATACACTGAAAGCAAAATGCTTGGTAAATTACTTAAGGCATAAATTATGTATGTAATAGACTGACCAATAGGAAGCAAGGACAGATGGCTATCCAGCAGACCCTCCAGAACAGACCAGGGGCGAAGCCAAGCATCAGCTGTACATCATTGCAGAAACGTGTTGTCCCTGCATACATTTCACAAACACACTTAGAGCACAATGCCTGAAGCGGCATATCAGATTAGCAAACTATTGAAGCACAGGATAAAACCTTGGGACTTATAGACGCTGGGTGAATAAGAAAGAACAGATGGACAATAGTAGAGTATAAAGCAACAGAAGTGGCTAAACAGTTTTATGCTTGCACATTTTGACTCTCCCTGCAGCGATGGCTGAAAATCAGATTTTCATAGACCCTCATGGGAATTAAGCTAAAGAGTGGAGAGGCCAAAAGAAATATAAATGACACATGCTAGGAAGTTCAACAGCGATGCTCATAATTATTTTGAAGTCTTGAAGATTTTTGAGGCAGCTGAGGGAATATGACTTATCATACAATCCCAAAGGTCTCTAAGGGAGGATCTCGTCTAGACAGTTTATTAAGAAACTACAGATAAGTTTGTTTGCTTTATCAAACCAGCATGAAGACCAGTGGCACAATAAAATGAAGTTAAAGTGATATTTAAGATGACTTAACTGGATTCCAATACATACCATAGAACCAGGAAACAGCAATAACCTCAAGGAAGACAACGGTGATAACAGCGGGGCCTGTGGCGTACTCCTCAAATAGTTTAACAACAAACGCACCTCCCTACAAACACATTACCTCAGTATTAAAAAGAATGATAATAATGTGCAGAGTTTGTAAAACGGCATATTATTTTGGTAAATTTCCAAATGATGTCTCTGGATAATGTTTAAAGCCTTTAGGAAAATCTTCCAAAGCAAAACAACACTCACGTAGGTTAGAGTGGAGAGGGCACCCAAATAACAGACACACACCAGGCCAAGCACAAACCATTCTCTCCTCCTGGCCAACAGGTGGGGGAACTCGTCCAACATGGCTGTAATTACCCCTTCCAGACCTGCAAACTGCAGCAAGAGGCAGGGGATGACAGAAAAGTAGGTCAAAGACCCACTGAACCAGTGCAATGTTTAATCCAAATAATGCTCCTTAAGGTAGAGCAAGCACTAACTCAGTGGCTTCTGACAGGGACAAACATGATAATGAAGCAGAAATAGACTACATATGGAGTTATGTCTTTTGCAGACTGTAGTGTAACTTCATTGTGTGTGAGGTCAACAGAGGGACGGGAATGGGTTAAGTATGCAAGCTGAAGACATAATGTAATGAAACACTGTTGAGAATACATTGTGCTACATCCAGAGACAGTGAGCTGAGTAAACAAAAGGAAAAACTCATTCATTAAGGTCATTGGGTAGTATTTCAAGAAAGACAGAAGGAAAGACTGACCGTGCTGTCCAGCCCCAGCATAATTATCATGAGAAAGAATATGATGGCGAAGAATGTTGCAGCTGGCATATTGGCAATAGCCTCAGCATAGATGATGAAGAGCAGACTGGGACCTTAGAATTAAAAAAATAATAATTAGAAATAATTTGATAGGAAAAGACCCATAAAGAAAGGATTAAAAAAAATATGGCTCACCAGCATCCTTGGCTACAGTCTCCACTCCTTGTTGGCGCATCTCTGCCATGTATCCCAGTACGGTGAAAATCACAAAGCCTGACAGGAAACTGGTCAAACAGTTAACCGAGCTTGTGATCAAAGCATCCCTGCAAATCAAAGAGACACAGATACATTAATTAAGGATTTTTAACATGACAGAAAAGTTTTCAATATTGGTATTTTTTTATTCAATTGGCCAGGGAATTTTTATAGCGTGGTTGCTAGGGCATTGTCATGATGTTTCGAGCGGTTGGTGATATTCTGGTTCCAAAGTAAGTCTGCATAATTTATTTCCCAACTGTTCATTCTAAAGCAGCTTAGAGTGGTAACTGCACTCATCTTTTGGCTGTAGTCTGAACCGTGCTGTAAAGAGCAGTGTAATATACTTGTAGTAAAATTCTTTAGGTTATCCTTATGCTAGTATATAATAACAAGATTTGCATTTGGAAAATACAAGTATTCTCTTATTCTGCACAATTCTGGTCCAGAGCAGACACAACAGCACAGAGATGACCATCTGTCAGGCCAGACCACAAAATGTATCTTGCGGCACATTTAACAAACTAAATATATTCAATATTATTAAAAGAATGTATTCTAGTATTAAGAGTTTGATGTTTAATATAAAGAAGTCACATTATATAAATGTTTAAATAAAATGCAGACATGCCGTCTATGCAGGATGACAGATGAAATGTAAAGATTCAGCTATTTTTTTAAAGGGTCACAAAACACCCAAACACATTTTTTTGAGATGCTCGTATATGTGTCCCACTCTGCTAAAATTATTAGGACACATATATATTTCACAAAAAAAAAGAAAGTTGGTTGTTTTTTGCGTTATTTCAAGCAAATTCGTTCTTCCAGTTTGAAAAGAAATTTTGAAGCTGCGTCACAGAGATGAGATTCTTGTGTAAATTCCAGCATGTAGACTGGATGTCTGTACAGGCGAGTACAACGTGACGTCTTTGATCTTTCAGTATTAATTCATGAGAAAGACTTGGTTTCGGACCAATCAGCGTGTTCTATTGTGAATGGAATGGAACTTCATTAATAAGCAAGATAGCTTCGAAGACTTGTTTTTTCCTGTTACAGTGTTCAGATGGCAGAGATCGTCAGTGTTGTCATCAGTGTTGTGTTTATAAATATGCTGCAACAAAGGTTTTATTTTCAATTCTCTGCTATGAAAGCACAGCTGGACTCACGTGTGGATTACAGTGTTCTGCTAACATGCAACAAAAATACGTTTGTTAGGAACCTTTTTTACCCGAGAGCTTTTTACATCTGAAAATGGAGAAATCCGGATTTGCCACTCATCTTCTTTTAAAAAAAGATGCGTTTCCAGTTTGTGTTTATTGCCCTGTCTCTACAGATTTGGTAAGTGTGTGATCAGTGTTCTTTGTTTATCTTTATTCAGATGCCACAGTTAGTTTGTGTCATCAGCAGTACTCTTTCAGTTTTTTAAGACATACCTTACTAACAAAGTTACTAAGTTTGCAGTACATTAATATAGTTACAATATTGTGGACTGAAAGATCCGCCGTAAATGCTGTTCTATGAGTGTAAACACGTAAAGACCTTAATCAAATTATTACCAGCGTGTAGAATTTTTGCCGCATTTTGTGACAAGATAGTCTATACACACACGGCTTTCTGACACTACTTACCGAATGCATCTAAGTTATTGAGAAATGTTTTTTTTTGTTCCTATTCGTAGTGCGGTATCAAACATTACATTAAAACTACACTCTACCAGTAGTTCCTCGCATCCAGTATCTTGTTTTTTATGTGGGGGCATGCATGAAAAGTTCCTGAATGAAAGTGCTCTGTAAAAATTAGCGTGTGCTCGAACAGAAACTCCCATTTTAATGCAATCCCTTTCCTCTTTCGCCACTTGACACTCCCACCTAAACAGAGTTGCTATCACCCATTTCCTGACTTTTTTTAAACTAGAGGTGTAAAAACACCCTGCTGAGACAGGGAGGTTTCATAGCCCTTTAAAAGAAGAGAACCCATTTAACATGTCACACCCTAACTACCTATTCCACTGGAAAGTCAAGACACCGAATAAAGCTGCATGCTTCAACACACTTCAGTGGCACTTTCAGGGAAAGTTAAAATAAATAACATTTTAATGATAGCAAATACAACTATTAATATATTAGTGTTAACAATATTTAAATGTTAAGACGTATTAATATATGTGGGTTCAAGTTGTCAAAACTTAATAGAAACAGGCAAAAAGATTCAAGGAGGAAAAACAACAACAGAGCAGAGTGAATAAAGATCATATTTTAAGCTAAAGTTTGTGATAACATAACTTCAGATCGGATAAAAGAAAATGACAGAGGTATGAATGTGAGCCAGGTGTACTTGTAGCAGTTGTTATGAAAGGGATTGTAGCTGGCAAAGGCCAGGAGAACACCAAAGCCTGGACCCAGAGAAAAGAAGATCTGTGCAGCTGCATCAAGCCAAACCTGAAAAAAAAAACACAGATAGAGTGATTTGTCTGTAAAGATTTTCATTCATCCATATCATACCTGACAGAAGGCAAGAAATACGTGTTTTACAGGAGGAAGACAGTCACAGCAACCCAAACAGATTGTGAAATATCTTACAATTCTAAATGGTTGATTTAGTTTCCACTCACTGTAGTGGTTAGAAGTTTTTTCCAATCAGGTTTCAGGTAGAAGACAACTCCTCTCCATGCTCCTGGCAGGGTGGCCCCTCTTATCAACAGGATCAGCAACACCAGGTACGGGAAGGTAGCCGTTACCCAAACTACCTATCAGAGAGAGTCATAAAGAATGTTTTAACAGAAGGTCTATTTGTCCAATTGGTAAACAACAGGTTAACTCAAGGTTTATAATTTCTTCCCCTTGAGGTTTCCAGAACATCATACCTTGCCAGAGGTCTTGACCCCCTTCCAGATGCTGAAGTAGACAACAGTAAAGATGAACAAAAGACAAAGGGCTAGCTGCCAGCTCACCCAGCCCAGTTGATGAAGACCAGGAGATAGATGAACCTGCAACACCTGCCGGCTAAGGACAAGAAAGAAGTTGGTTTGCAGTTTATCAAGGTACACTAAAATAGCAGTACAGGGATGTCCAAACCTGTTCCTGGAGGGCCATTGTCCTGCATAGTTCAGTTATATAGCCATAATTAAACACACATGAATTAACTAACCTAGACCGTCAGACTTGTGTTGGAGGTGGTTGGAGCTAAGGTCTGCAGGAGCTTGGCTTTCAAGGAGCAGGACTGGACACCCCTGCTTTAGAACATGGGTGCTGTTTCTGGAGATCAGTCTTTTTGTAAAGTTCAGCATCAACCCTGATCAAACACAAGTAACCCAAGCTACCCTAAGATCAGACGTTATATCTCAATACAGGCAGATGAGAAAGACTATCACTTACCATTGGAAAATGCATTATGTTAACTTGGTCACATGAAGCACATCTTAGCTAATCACATAATGACCTCTGGTCTCCTTCCCTGCACATAGCCATAGATTCAGCATTTGCATTATTCTTTATGCTTTTTTGGTTAATTGTTGGATGCTTGCCCTTTTATATGCTTTTTAATATCATACTTGATAATTACAGAAAAGTGTGTTTGACCAGCATTGTAGGAACTATATAAGTGCATTAACAAGAGTGGGCACCCCTGTTGCAGAAGTACTATCAAGAGATAGTGCTGTCAAAGAACAATAAAATAAAAGCCAGAACGTCAATCTAACTGCATAGGAAAGGATTGATGAGTAGTAGACAGTTATATAAGTACAGGGAGTACTGTATGCGAAACAGGAAATCTCAACTACACATAAATGAAAGCAATCAAAAAACCAACAAAAAACAAAGCCTTTAAATCTCTCCTAAAGCAGTGTATACACAGACTTAATCCCCCATGTCTTTTCGAGAGAGTAAACACATTCTCTTTCAAACCCAAGAGTCTCTCAAAGGTTCAAGAAGCCTGGTGGAGGCAAAGTTCTCATTTAGTATCCCCTTCAACCTGGACTTGGCACTTTTACGCACTTACATGCACTTACACATAAAACTCTTCAGCGGGAGAGATTGAGTTGTTGGTCCAGGAGACATTTAAGTCAGTGGACAGGTAGTGGGTGCAGTTGGGAGTGTTCCATCGGTTGTTGCAGGTGGTCCAGGGCAACGTGGCTCGAAAAGAGGACAGGAGATAGTAGAGGGCCCAGGCCATTATGGTATTATAGTAGAAGGCAATGTAGAGTGCAATAATGCAGATGGCAAAGCCTATACCTGTAAAAGAACATAAAACACTTGTCATGCAAATACAAAACTTTCGTTTAAAGCACCGTCTATTCTGTAGTAAGTGACATTTAGGACAAAGTTCCATTTACATAAAATCAGGTTTCTTAAGCATGTGGCATTTTACCAGGTAAATGTGACAATTTCCATAACAGAGTCCCTGCTATCAACAAAGAGAGAGCGGAATTGGTAAGAAGTTTAGGAGAAGGTCAAGGGAGACTGTACTATCAGCCCAGCACATGTCAGTCTGTCATTATCTATCTGACCCCTAACCTGGGTCCTCTGTCTTAAAAGTCTTAAAGTCTTGTGAAGCAGACCAGTCTTACCCTTGAAGATGGGGCAGACGTGTTTCCAGATGGAGATGCACCCACTGCGGTGAAACTGGCCCAAAGCCAGTTCCATGTAGAACAGTGGCACACCCCCAAACACAGCCATCAGAAGATACGGCAAGAGAAAGGCACCTGAAGTACAAAGATTTAGACAGGAAGTAAAACTTAAAACTTCACGATTCCATTGCATTGGTTTTAACACATCCTGAAAGCACTATTATACCTACAAAAAGGGCATAAAGGATGCTAACATACACAAGATGTTCTTGTTCAGACAAGCCCCCAGTGCTTGATTAAAGCTTTGCGTGCTTTTGACTTGAACACTAGATAGCTGTTGATTGAGCGGCAGTGAGCCAGATTATTAAACAATATGAGAAAGTCCAACCCTCGAGAGCCACAATTAATGGTTGTTGGTTGCGCTGAGCGGGTAGCTCTATCTTTCATGCACTCCCCTTGCATGGTGAAACAGGAAATTACAAAGATTTTATTATTTCAAATCCAATGAAAGGAGACTAAAGCCTGTTTGTACTGACGAGGCAAGCTGGATCACACAAAGAGTGGAGACAACAGCAGAGTTCACCATTGTCTGTTTGTTATTTTTAAGCAAACAGTACCTAGTTGATCTTGTCTCAAAGACGGAAGTCTTTCTTTAAATGGCATGCAACACAGTATCTGTTTAGCTCCTCTAAAGCCATCACACTTATCTGTCTAAGTGCGGCCTATAGCTTAAGTGGCACTTTTGCCTAGTGTTCTGACCTCTTCACATTTGACCTTACCCCCTCCATTTTGGTAGCAGATGTAGGGAAAGCGCCACACATTGCCCAGGTCCACTGCATACCCGATGACCGACAACAAGAAGTCCATCTTTTTGCTCCAGGTCTCCCTAGGTGGATCAAGGCTCGTCTGTTGGACCACCAGAGTCCTAAATGTTCCAGGGGTATTGACCCTGTCCGTCCCAGTGCCCGCACCTTCTTTGGGGCTTTGAGGAGATGTACTGCGATAACCATTGGAGACTTGCCCAGGCCCAGAGCCAGATTTCTGATCCTTCTCCGGAACGCTATCCACAACCAGCCTGCCGTTCTCTTGAGACTCCGGCACTTTCTGCTGCTCTCCCCCGTACTCTTGATTCATCATCATCGACTCTTTCATATCCATGGTGAGGACTGCTGTTAGGGTTGAGATGGTGGTCCTCTTGCACTGACTGATATCGTGCCCATGAGGGGATAGAGAGCCTGGAGAAGGGGGTTAAGGGGTGGAACAGAGTGGGCTGGGATGGAGAGAGCAAGGAGAGTGTGACCAGTCCTTAACCTGTACGTTTTAACAAACTCAAAACAAGGAAATACTGCTCAGGCTCAGCTACAAAACACACACACAAAAAAAAAGGTGGGGGGGGGGTGGGGGGGGTCAAATGTAGCCTGAGGGAATTTAACTAGAGTTTACCCGTCATTCTTATAAGTGTTCTTAAAAAATTACGCATTATCTTTGGCAGAAAAAACATGTTCTGCAATATATCAGCAGATTTAAATTAAATACACCCTTACAACAAGGGGCTGAAGCTGTAAATCACTGAACACTGTACACGAAACAGCAACATTAAGCCTTAGGAAGCTGCCGATGCAACAGTTTATTCTCTTTTTTTTATGTGACACTATTGCAACTACAAATAAAAGTGTCAAATGTGTCAATTCCTGACACTATTGTAACAACAAATAAAAAAAAAATGTTACAAAAAGATGTTAATTCTATAAAATATACACTTGCACAACATTTACTCTCCCAAATACTATTTATGTTCATTTATTTAAGTTTATTTATGTGAAACTAAACTTTACTTACAACTATATATTTGTGACTATAGAAAAGAAAGAATAAGTCAAACAAATTTAACACTTGTTGATCAGGACCAATCAGTACACCAATAATCAACAATAAATTATATAGAATTTGTCAAATAAAATAAAATCATAATCTAGAGGGTAATTTACTTGCAGCAAGAGCATCAGTTTCTGCATAGCGTTCTCTCTCTAGAAGCAGGTGAGTGCAGCATGTGAGAAGATATTAAGGCAACTACTATTAAAAACAGCCTAATGATCTAGATGTCAAGAAAGAAAATAAAAGAGAAACACTGTTTTTCCTCTGCTTGTCTTTGTCCTACTATTGCATAATTATTAACAGGGGTATTTTTCCCGCCAAACATGTTTATTATTTATTCAAAGTGAATCATTTGTTCCTCTAAGACACATTTTGAAAAAAATAAAAATAGTATTAATGCTGACTGTGGAGAAGGTGGAAAGCGTTCCGCACTATTAAAATCAGACAAAAGGTGAAATGTTCAAATGTTTGTGCATATGCAGCATGGCAAATTATCAATACAATTAATTTGTATGTAATAGCTGTATTGTCAAGAAGTCCATGTGCAGGAAAATTATGATCAGGCATTTTTTTAAATGTGGAACAATTAAAGTTAACTAAAGGAACAAGGACAAGCAAGTTCATTTATCATGCCGTATTATCAGTTATTGAATGAGAAAACAAAATGTAACCATTTGGGAGCTGCCACCACACACCCTTCTCATTAAAGCATGGCGAGAAGAAAAGATAACATTGAATTACAAGTTTTACGTAGGATCGGTTTCTGCACAAAGATTATCTGATTTGGCAAACTGCCCATTTTCTTTATTATTTATTGCCGCATCTCTCAGCTACTTTCTATCCATTTTTCCTTGCACACACTAAATCAACCTCTCCGTTACTCACTAAATCAACCCCCTCAAAATTGAACATCTTAAACATCCCGGCTCATTTCCCCCTCCAGGTCAAGATCAAGTTTGTTCATTTACTAGGATCAAAAGATAAAACCAATAATCCACAATCTTCATTATTACACATCTGATGAATGTTACACAACATGAATGTCAAATGAAATATAATCAACATGAATTAGTTTTATTAGCCATAGATATCAAGATAAAAGACTTCCCCCCTATTACAGCACATTAGACTCAATTAAAACTAGATTAAAATGAGCTGCAGAACTGGACTTGCACATTTTAATAAACTTGTCAAAGTACTAATCAGACTCAGAAATCTGCATAAAAACGTATTAATAAAAATAAACAGCACACACATGCACACTCTAGTTACACATGCAGTCGCGTACAGACACACACAAGCTAAGACTTGCCACCCAAAACCATTGGTTAACACACGCAGAGCCACAAACACCATGCACAGGGCAACCCTACCGTGCTGCGGTTGAGCAGTTCTGTGGGGGTCTGCGTTTGGGTGGTGACCAACACCGTCCCGGCACTTAAGACACGCCCCTTTCACCCCTGCTCTCTCTCTCTCTCGCTGTCTCTCTCTCTCTCTCTTGCTTACTTTATCCTCCTCTACTTGTTCTTCTTTCTAGCAGAGAGTCTTTAACTTGCTTCGTGGTCGTCAGCCTAAGGCGCTTCAGATGTAGACACATAGAACGAGGCTCTGTGATATAATTATGAGCCCTGCTACCAAACATCTGTTCACGCAAAAACACACACAAACAAAAAAGCATGAATGGAGAACTCCAGCCCTCATCACATTATGCACATCCACATAGTATTTATTTGTGGTGAAAGAAGGCCTGACCTACATTCTCAAAATCCTACTAAGATATTTAGACACCTAAATCTACGTCAGGTTTTAGGTGACTAGCTGTTAGTTTGATCCTGTACGATATCTTTATTGCTGATGACAGTTAAAAGTTTGGACACACCTACTGACTCTTTAAAAATATATATATTTTTGAATAATAGTTACAACATAAAACGATGGAAAGCAAGAAGAAAGGTTTAAAATATTTTTATGTAATGTTTAATTAGTTCCTTTTTCTGAGCACTTGTTGCCTGTTTACACACTATTTCTCTTTCTCCCTCTGTCTATATATTTTTTTTCTTTTTTAATATTTTCCAAATGATGTTTAACAGAGCAAAGAAATTTTCACAGTATGTCTGATAATATTTTTTTTCTGGAGAAAGTTTTATTTGTTTTATTTTGGCTAGAATAAAATCAGTTTTTAATTTTTTAGAAACCATTTTAAGGTCAATATTATTAGCCCCTTTAAGCTATAATTTTTTTTTAATAGTCTACAGAACAATTCGTAAATATACAATAACTTGCCTAATTACCCTAATATGCCTGGTTAACCTAATTAACCTAGTTAAGCCTTTAAATGGCACTAAGCTATATAGAGGTATCTTGAAAAATATCTAGTCAAATATTATTTACTGTCATCAGATAAAATAAATCAGTTATTAGAAATTAATTTTTAAAATAAATAGGGGGCTAATAAATCAGGCGGACTAATAATTCTGACTTCAACTGTAAATATATATATATATATATATATATATATATATATATATATATATATATATATATATATATATATATATATATACATATACATACATACACGTCAAAAATTTGAATATGTAATCAAAAAAGCATTTAGCTTATATTAATTTATATGAATATAACAAATAATTGAAAAAAATGATTTATGACATTATTTCGATGTCAAATATATTTGTGTGTATTTTTTAATATAGGGTAGCACTTTATAATAACTACACTCTATGAATCGTTTATTAAGCATTGGCAAAAAGTTAATTCATTATCTGTGAAGCATTATCTCTAATTGGTTTTGGTTTTATTTGTATTAGTATTGTAAACATTAAATAAAAGTTAAAAATTTTTGTTATTTTTTTAATAAATTAAGTTTTTAGTAATGCTACTCCCAAAATTATTCTGCATAAATCCACAGATTTTTTTTTTTGCACAAAATTCCCAACAGAAATAGCAGAAATGTCTGCAGATTCTGTCTGGCACTACTTATAAGCACATGTATAATGAGCTTTATGATTGTTTTTGCATAATTTGTAAATAATGCAATACTTAAGTAATAAAAAAATTATCATTACAAACTAGTTATTTAAGAATAATTGGTGATATTTGAAGATAATTTGGAATGCGTAATTAAATGTTGAATAAACTATTCAAACTAACATTCATTTATTTTATTATGATATACTAATAGTTAATTTGCATGTTAATAAATGCTTTATGAAGTCAACTTCATCCAGTTTTGACCCAATCTAAAGTAATGACTATTTATGCTTTATAAATGACAATTAAAGGCTCAGTTATATTCTAAACAGGAAAAAGAAAATAAATTACTTCAATCATTTCTATTCATTTGAAGAGACACAAATGAAACTATCAAATGACAAAATAAATCTTTGCAATCTTATAAAAAAAATTACTGTGCAGTTTCAACTTTACTAAGTAAGTTTGAAATGTATCATAATGTATAGTTAAATTAATATAGTGTTGTTTTATCTAATTAATTTATTTGTATTTATTTCTAACTGCATTTTGACACTCCTGTTATTCTGTAATGTTTGAAGTTTACAGTTATTTTATTATTTAGATAGGATTGCAAACCTGTGATGCTAAGCCTTTAATTGTCATTTATAAAGAATTTACAAAGCATAGTCCTCACTAGATTGTCACAAAAAATAATAAACTATTTGCTAATTCTTAAAAGACAAATCAGAGTGTGTAGTTATTATAAAGTGTTACCATATATGGATTATAACATTTATTACAAAATAAGACAAGACAAAATAAACTTAAAGACAAAGATATCATAAAAATTTAAGACAAAATTAAATAAAAATGTCAGTGAAAAGCATTATCAAGTAACAATTATATGTTAACATTAATTAATAATATAGAACTTTGCAACTAATTTAGATTGATTATTGAATAAATTAAAAATCTCATCTCAGGTACCACAACTAAGATAAAACAATTTTGATTTTAATTTAACATCAACTAAGAAAAATAACTCATTTTGAAATGTTTTCACTGTTAGTTTATGTTATCTAATATAGTTAACTACTCAAAACAAACTGATCCATATTGCAAATTGCCTATATATGTAGTTAGAAGCGTTATACATTATACAACCTGCATTATACAGTATGTAAACAATTTAAATAAAAAAGCACTCAAAAATGACTTTTGCTGCTTTTTAAAACTAATAATTTAAAATGAGTTGAAACAACGTAATTCTTATGTTTTTTGGGACATCTTAATTGTTTTTCAATCCACTTAAATGTGTAAAAAGGGATTTTTACTGTGCAAATAAATGTATATTACACTCAAAAGCATTACTTTAGATCAATGTTTTTTTAAGGTGACTTTAGTCAAGTGTGTCCACACTTTTTACACTGTATAATGTACAAACACTGATCTTGCTCATTGTACACAGACTAAATACAGGTAAAATATAGACCTTGTTTGTGAATTTATCTCGAAGTGCCATGGCAAATAAGTGAATTAGACACACAGTTGAGAGTCTAATTGTAAACAAGATTTTAGAGATAAATATGAACGCAACATGGTTTCCAGAAGGACTTTTAAATTATGCATCATCTAACAACTACATACGAAAACAAAAAGGGTTGAATCAACAGGACAGGATAAATTCATTACAATTCTCTTCTCCTGAATGATCTGCTTACCAGAAATAACACTAAGATTAGTGACAGACACAATACATATCCATTATGAAAATGAGACGCCACATTACAACACAACTGACAACAAAGCTTCATCAGTATAAGCAATGATTTTTTTCTATGTATAGCATCGCACATAATTAAAGTGAAGTTCTTTTCCTGAATAAAAGCCATCACCTCAGGGCAAAAGTACAGGTAAACCACAAACATACAAAACAAATAATGCAAGATTTGCATTTTGGAACACAGAGGAAGTAGGTCAGAAAATTCAAGCGCAATAATGCTACATAGACTCTTTTTATAGTTTTAAATTTTAATTCTAAATTATTCTGTTTGAGTAATTATAAAATTAAATCAAAACTGATTTTCCTGGTGCAGACTGTCTAAATGCTCACTGTGTAGTACAAATTGTAATTTGGCATGCAAGTACCAAAGTAGTTTGTAATATGAAAATCTGTTTATCAGACATTTGTTCGTGTGTCTACAGAAATACTATTCTTACAAAAGAGACACTTGTTTAGGTGGGATATTAGTATATTCCTTAAAAACCTAAAAATATGGAGGTATATCAAAGCACTGATGTTTGCTTACAAAGCGATTTCTGGCTGCGCCCCTTCTTATCTGCTCTCACTTCTGCAGATTTAAAGGCCCTCCAGAAACTTGCGTTCTGTGAATGAACGTCACCTCGTGGTTCCATCCCAAAGAGGGAAGAAAACGCCTTGTCCTCATTTGTAAGTCGCTTTGGATAAAAGCGTCTGCTAAATGACTAAATGTAAATGTAAAATGCTTTTATGCATTCCTGGAAGTAGACTTTAAATTAGACTAAATACAATTGGTTTATACGTAATGCCTTAAAACATTATTCAAAAACCTTTCTATATATATTATAAACTTATATTATCATTTTCATGTAGTTACAAGTCAGCTTTAACAAGTCACTTTTTTTGTTTAACAAGCTGTTCAAAAGTTAGATTAACAAAATAAAACAGGAGCCTGAACCTGATTGTTTTAAAATAGGATACATAAGAAATTATTTAAAATCTACTTTTACTGCATATATTTAATGTTTACAATTTAATGGGGAAAGAAGCAGTGCAAAAAATACATGGGAATTCTTGTATTCACTTACAAGTACACATATAGAGCCTTTCAGTGTGGTCATGTCATTGGCCCATAAACATTTCCTGATTGTTATCAAACTAACAACTGTAACAAGAGGCAATTCATTCATAACTTAATGCTAAAACAGCTTTCATAACATTATTTATCAATATGTGGCTCTTTTTGGATTCTCTGATCATAGTCATGACAACTTATGTTTTTAGTTCATTATAACTTATTAAACTAAGTTATTTATGTTCTAACTTAATTTTAAAAGTTACACAAGTTGTTTTAAAATAATAATAATATAAGTTCAATGGACTCAAGGTTAATAATTTAGGCAACCAGGATTTATTTTTATTTTTTTACAGTGTATAGAAATAAAAAATGTAAAACAGGAAATGCATTGGGACCGTTGTTTTTGTTTACATCCCTCAAAATGGTCTATAAAATGAAAAATACAAACTAGTGTACTGTAGTTCAAGTATATTTGGGTACTATATTGTACTTACTGTTGTAAATACTTTGAAATATATATATATATATAAATACAAAGCGGACTAATTTAGTAATTAAACACTCACAAATAGGCATGGGTCGGTATAAGATTCTGAATGTATAATAACCTCAGATAACAATATCATGGTTTACCGATATTGTGATTAAAATATAATCTTTGTAAATGTCAGAGTAAAAAACAAAAACTTTTTCCCCTTTGAACACAATATATTTTATTTTAAGAAACATTTATATTTTGGAATAGTAAACATGTCAGGCTAAATAGTTAAAATAAATCATTAACAGATTTTTACACAAAAACGGCATATTTGGATATCTTTTCTGCTGGAAATACTGTTGTTCTAAAAAACAAAACAAAACGTAAAAAAAAAAAAAAAAAAAACTTACACATACCTTAGAAACGGTATTACAGAAAATGTTGGTGGTTTTAAAACCTTGACTTTTCCAAACCGCGGTATACATTGAAAACAGTTATCGGCCCATGCCTACTTACAAATTGAACATTTATGAGTACGCTAATAATGCATTGATATTAGCAGAGTTACTACACATGTATACTTCACTTAAACTTACTTTAATTAACTATAAGAATTGCTTCGTATCCTTCATCACATAACGTTCCACTTGACGACAACAAAAGTGTCCAAATCTGTCCTGTTTTTACAGCACTATTACAACCCATCAACCAGGTAATAAAAATGAACATGCAACACAGTTGACACCTTACCTAATCCCTGATGTATTTTTGTCATTTTCAAGTGTCTGTCTAGACAATGACAGCTACTGACAGACCAAGACAGAAGTCATTAAAAATAGAATAACCTGATTAAAGATGATAAAATAGCAAAGAACACAGGAACAAGCACATATCTATCTATCTATCTATCTATCTATCTATCTATCTATCTATCTATCTATCTATCTATCTATCTATCTATCTATCTATCTATCTATCTATCTATCTATCTATCTATATATCTAATATATATATATATATTTTTGCTTTAAACCAAACCTTTCATGCACTTTCCAGATTTTTTTCCCCTTCCATACTTCTTTGTTAATGATGAGATTTGGCTAGTTTTTATATTTATTTATTTATTTATTGAGATTCAAGATCTCACGAGCGAGGTCTTGGAGGAAACAGAGGCCTCTACAGTGTATTACAAAACTGCAAACAAATATAACCCATTTTACACACTAAAAACATAAAGAATATACACTCACCAGCCACTTTATTGGATACACCTGTCCAGGTGACATGCATTTAGGCATGTAGACATGCTCAAGATGATCAACTGAATTTCAAATCGAGCATTAGAATGGGGAAGAAAGGTGATTTAATTGACTTTGAACGTGACATGATAGTTGGTGCCGGGCTGGTCTGAGTATTTCAGAAACTACTGATCTACTGGGATTTTCACACACAACCATCTCTAGGATTACAGAGAAGGGTCTGGAAAAAAAATCCAGTGAATGGCAGTTCTGTGGGCGCAAATGCCTTGTTGATGTCAGAGGTCGTAGGAAAATGGCCAGACTGGTTTGAGCTGACAGTAAGGCAACAGTAACTCAAATAATTACTCGTTACAACTGAGGCATAAAGAAGAGCATCTCTGAAAGCACAAAATGTCAAACCTTGAGGCAGATGGGCTACAGCAGCAGAATAAAACACCGGGTGTCCACTCCTGTCAGCTAAGAACAGGAAACCGAGGCTACAGTTTGCAGGCTCACCAAAATTGGACAATAGAAGATTGGAAAAAAAAAGTATGGGGTGTCTCAATTTTTGCTGCAACATTTGGATAGCAGGGTCAGAATTTGATGTCAACAACATGAAAGCATGGCACCATCCACCTTTCAGGCTGGTGATGGCAGTGTAATGGTGTGGGGGATAGTTTCTTGGCACACTTTAAGCCCATTAGTACTAGTTGAGCATCTTGTTAATGCCACAGCCTACCTGAGTATTGTTGCTGATCATCTCCATTGCTTTATGACCACAGGGTACCCATCTTCTGATGACTACTTCCAGCAAGATAACGCGCCATGTCATAAAGTGTGAAACATCTCAGACTGATTTCTTGAATATGACAATGAGTTTGCTGTACTCAAATGGCCTCCACAGTCACCAGGGCTCAATCCAACAGAGAACCTTTGAGAAATGGTAGAACGGGAGATTCGCATCATGGACGTGCAGCCGGCAAATCTGCAGCAACTGCATGATGCTACCATGTCAATATGGACCAAAATCTCTAAGGAGGATTTCTATTGTCTTGTTAAGTCTATGCTATGAAGGATGAAGGCAGTTTTAAATGCAAAGGGGTAAAACCCGGTACTAGTTAGTTGTACCTAATAAAGTGGCCGGTGAATATATTTTAGCTTAGTTTAAAATGTCTTGCTTAATTAAATGTTTTTTCTCTGTAAACAGACTATGTGTACAAATTCACTGACATTACTATGGCACAGACAAAAATACTTATTAAAAGGTGGTCAGTGGATTTATCAATACGTCTGACATTATTTAAATTCAACACATTTTTGTTAATGACCTGCTAAGCCTACAAACGAGTAAAGATATTGAAAGCATAACCTACCTTGCAGACGTCAGGCTGTCTTCTGCAGTTCTTGCTAATTTGACGCTTTATTGTAGCATCCCTCAGGGCCCTAGATGGGAGGGAACATGCAACAATACAAACAAATTCTGACACTCCTTTTTTTTCATACACTCACTTAAGCAAACACAAATCAAGAGGTTTGGCTGAGGATCCAATACATCCAGTTTTCTTTGGTTTACCCATCTAAAGATTCTGATAAAATACAGTCTAAAAGCTCAACACAATGCTGTCTTGGTCTTACCTAATAACTGCTACAATCACTTGAAAACGCACACGCTCTTGTTGAAGAATCTCTCTAACAGACGTACTACAAATACACTTACAGTGTGGTGAACAGCAAGTCTTTCCAATCTGTCTGAGCTAGTAGGTTAATCCGCAGCAAGTCCAATGTACTGAAAGGCAGGCGGGAAACGGAGAGGTGGGGTGGAGGTGTTTAAACTAGGTTTTTAAGGAGGGAAATAAGAAGCTTAGATTGTGGTCTGTGACAAACGCACTCCCCCTTTAACTTTCTTCTTTCCAAACAGTGGCAGATCGGGATGTGAAAGAATTGAGGACACAAACATCAAGTCAAGAGCCTCCATCCCGCTTCAACCCTCAATAAGAGAGTTCTTGGAATCGTTCAGTGTTGAGAGGAGGACTCGGAGGTATAATTGTTTCTTGGGACGGCCAACAAAAAGGTAACGTTCCCTCTAAGCTCTTTAGAAGCCTTTCCACACATTTTCATCTTTTCGTGAGGCCCGGGTATTTCCTACATTCACAAAGTTCAAAGAGGTACTGTCTCTCCATGGTAGAGGAAAAATTGTGTTAAATCCATGCAAAATAGTCTGAAAATAAAATTTATAGCCCATTGTTGGAACGTGATCAGTCTTACAAATGGTAACAAGGCAAACTGCTTTGGCAAAATAACAATGCGGTTTTAAAAAATGATTAAAATGATCAAGAGGTTTTCTAGCAAATGATTTTTTTAGAGAGTCATCTGCTTTGTGATGTAACCTGGTGAACAGCCAAAAGTCTGCAGGTCTTCAGTTAATACATCAGAGTCTAATCCTCAACAGACCTTTTCTATTTTACTCAGAAACCTTTTTTTTTTTCAAGAATGTGATATCTTAAAGGCCAACATTAAAGCACATTTAATAGTAAATTGTGAATGCACAACATGTGTAGGTAAAAAGTGACAACAGAAACCAACTAGGCATAGGGCAATAACCAGTTTTAAGGTTTCCTTGGTTTAAAAGTCAAAGTTTTAAAACCACTGACATTTTCAGTTTTATCATTTATATATAAGGTTTTTTTTTGTGTTTTCTATGGCTATTTTATTTAGTTTTTTTAAGGTAACAGTGCACTCAAAAATGTTTTGCTCTTTGTTCAAATTACCTATTTAAAATAAGCTGAAACAACACAATTATTGAGTTTGTGATTGAGTATATGTTCAATCCAATTGAATTTGTCAAAACTAATATTATAACTTAATTCCTTCATGTTGTCCCAACACAAATCGATTGTGTGGAACCCAGCATTATTTTTTTACTGTTTAACTCCATCAGCGCACAATTCAGGAAACATCTGAAAAAGAGAAAGCATGCTATAGGCCTGAACAGTGTAGTGGCTTACTTTATATCAAACGAAAAAAGAGATATCCAAAAAAGCCTTTTAAAATAAAGAAATCTGTGCTTTAAAACTTATAAAGATAGTAGGAGTCAGTGATGAGTTTGAATTATTTAGCCGGACATTTTCCAAATTGTTTTAAATGTTTCTTAAAATAGAATATGTTGTGTTCCATATGGAAAACGTAGTTATTTTATACCCAGGCATTTAAAAATAACATATTTTGAAGCAGTAATCACAATACCGTGATATTTTTATCCAAGAATTATACCGTCAGAATCTTATTCCGGCCCATGCTTTAAACCAACTAAAGTAAAAAATTTGCTTTTCTTAAAAATAAATACAGGAAAATTCAATAAATACAGTAAAATGTATGTTAAATAAAATAAGTATTAAAATATTTAGCTGTACTTAAACAAATAGACATTGAGGACCAGTTTGAGCAGTGTAGAGAACTTTCACATGCGTTTGAGCCTCCCGACAACTTTACCTTAAATATCAGTTCATTATTCCCAGGTTGGAGGAAAGTCCTTACCCAAGGTGGAGGAGTTCAAGTATCTTGGGTTTTTTCATGAGTGAGGAAAGGATGGAACGTGAGATTGACAGGCGGATTGGTGCAGCGGCAGCAGTAATGTGGTCGATGTATCGTTCCGTTGTGATAAAGAAGGAGCTGAACCGAAAGACAAAGCTCTCAATTTACAGGTTAATGTACGTTCCTACTCTCACCTATAGTCATGACCAAAAGCACAAGGTCTTGGATACAAGCGGCCGAAATCAATTTCCTTCACGGGGTTGCAGGGCGCACCCTTATAGATAGGGTGAAAAGCTCTGTCACCTGGGAGGAGCTCGGAGTAGAGCCGCTGCTTCTCCACATCGAGAGATGTCAGCTGAGGTAGCTTGGGCATCTTTTCCACCGGGAAGCATCTGGGAAGACCCAGGACACACTGAAGTAACTATATGTCTCTCGGCTGGCTTGGGAACACCTGAGGATACTGCCAGAGGAGCTGGAGGAAATGTCTGGGGAGAGGAAAGTCTGGAGGTCTCTCCTGAGACTGTTGCCCACGTGACCCGGCCCAAGAAAAGCAGATGAAAATGAAAATGAATGAATATTTCTCATAACATATCAGGTGGAAACTGGTAACTTTGGAACAGACGTGGACTTCCTATACATCTTACAATTATTTTCTCTAGTTTTATCCAAAACTGCTATCTTGGAATGTCTTAAAAATAATAATAAATAAAAACATTTATAAACTTATGGTGCATGTTTGTCGGAGGCTCAATTGTTTAGTTATAAATCGAGACGCTGGGAGTGCAACTAGGTTTATGGAGTCCTGCAGCTTACCTTAGTTCCGAAGGTAAACATAAGAAAAGGTTTTCTAATGTTACTGGCTCGTTGATGTTCGTTTGTATGTCTTTATTATTTTTTTATTATTATATTAGGCAGTGTATTTAGGGCTTGTTAAAATAGGTTTATAAAAATATATAGAATTGTGTTTAAACAATTACATCTGTATTTGGCATAAAAATCAAGGGAAAAAATAGACATTTTAAAACTTAATAGAATCTAAAATAAAAAAGAAAGCTGGACATTCTCCTATAAGTACTTGCTTAACATGACTATAAATTCGTTTTCATTCAGCATGCTTACAGAATAAGTTGTCTGCATCTTTTTTCCTATGTGGGTGTAATTAAGGGGAATTAACTCCTCCTAATTAGATTTAACACACAGATGCTGACTCAATTCAATTTGTTCAAGTTTAATTACATATCGATCTCTAATGTCCCTTTATAACTGGCTGAATTTATAATCTGAATTGACAGCAGCAGAGGTAAGATGGCTTTTAAAAAACAAGTGCATCAGGAGTTCATATGCAACATTCTCTCAAGCCATGCTCTCATCTGAACTTCAACAAGTAACGTCACAGATCTCAAGCCGCGATTCAACATCTGCTGCTCTCAGAGTCTTTCAGTGGGATCTGAAATAATCCTGTCTGTTGGTGGTGACCGTTGCACTTAGACTATAGCTGCATCTTTGTCAGTTCCCTAGATCGTGCACACAAATTTGGCCACTTATGAGGATACATATAGGATACACTGAGTGTGACATGAGAACGTCCTCATTGTACATCAAAACTGCAATAAACAGAATAATTCATATTTTATATAATTCATCATAATTCACTTTATGAAGTTTTAAAGGGACAATACTCAACATATATGAGTAAACCCCTCACAGATCTCTCATTTAAATGGCTATTTTCTAAAGGAAGCTAAACAATATTATATTTGTGCATATATATTAGATGAGTTAGTATTGAAGCCAAATCTGAAGCTTATCTAACAAAATAACTTATGATAATTAGTACACCCAAATTTATGTTAGGGTAAAATATTAAATAAAAAAAAATTCCAGAGCAAAAATCAAGAGAAACAAACAAAATTTTGTAGTTTGTAATTTTTTTCCCTAATATTTTACAAAAATTTTAACTTTCTATTTTCTTAAGATGTTTGCTGACTAAAATATTTTAATAAATATATCTGTTTAATAAATCTGTTTTGTTCAAATGCACCAAAAAATTAACAATATTCACTAAGAAATGGATAAAAATCATCCATCAATCAAAGTTCATATTTATAATGTGGTGTACTTAATTATGTTGAGCATTGTATATGTTATGGCTAAATAACTTGATTATTTCATGTACTAGCAACATTCGACAATTAAATAATTTTAAATGTTTGCTAGATTGTTGTCTAGCTATCTTCGTTTGTGTTAAATAAAAATGCATAAGTTTTATTTATGTATTTTTTTTTTTAGATAAATGTCTTTCGTTAGCGTTTATTTTGATGATTTGGTTCACGTAATTCTTGTTTCATACTTCCAAAGAAATTTGTGATTTAGACAGCACTAATAATGGCCTCATGACTGAACACTACTGAGTCACAACCTGATGCCGAGTTCAAACTGTACGATTTTCAAAATAGCCATGTGTCAGATATTTTCACACTGCATGACTATCTAAGTTAGCGTTTAGTCACTGCTCTGTTAACACTGCAAGATAGTTTATTTATAACCATTTTTGCAGCTCGTTTAAATACACTATGAACAGCAGCTACACTAATTATTTTCTTTATCCTCTTTTCCATCTGGGCATAGTCATTCCGAAACCCCTAGAGATTGTGCAATGCACATGTGATGCGATCCAAGACCTGTGAAGAGATAAACCCAAGGTATCCATAATCCTGGACCAGGCTGTATCCTGAGCTGATGCTGTGGTCGTCATGGAGTGCATGAGACCAGCCGCGTTTCCACTATCGCGCCTAAAGTGAGCGAGCCAAGGCCAGTCGCGTTTCCACTGTCACTTCCGAGTGCTAAACAGGTCAACTGGGGCTTCGGGGCAGAGTGAAAGGAGAGGCGGAGTGCAGACACAGTTTTCCGATCGCACACGAGTACATGCGGCAAATATAAATAAATAAGGGAAAGAAAACATCTAGCCTTATTGGCTGGGGTCTTTTTGCGTATGATCGCCCTTATGTTCCCCTTTTAAATGTAAGGCTGTTGCATAAAATAATAAAGTTTTAATTTATAAGTGACTTTTCTTTGCTGCGTCCTCCTTGATGTTTCAATAACGCATAATAATCTTTAGACCATATTAAAGACACAGCAGACAGTAAAGTTTTTCAAGAGTTTTTGTCAAGTTTAAAAGGTGTGCTTGTGCGCGTTTAGATGCCTGTATGCGTGTGTGAGACCGAGGGAAAGAGCACTCCCTTCACAGCTCTGTTGATGCCGCGCAGCTTTTTTCTTTTTGTTATGAGTCTAGTTTCTAGTTTTTTTTCACCTGCACTATTGTCAAATGGTGACGTTTTTTTTCTGAAAAGAAGCCCTTTTAACTTTTTCCCGAACCTCTCGCTGGCCTGCAGATACCCATACTAGTGGATGCTGCTTACTCATTGGCGGTAGGTAATGGGCTATATGCACACAGACTTTTAATTTTCAGCAGGGCAGCCCTATGGCTTCAAGTAAACTGTCTTTCCATTACAAAACTGTCACGTTTAAAATCAGCGATCTTCGCTGCCTGTTAGATATATGATATGATATAAGTGGGTCTCAGATCGGACAGGAAGCCCTGCATTTAATTCCAGTTCCCCCACCATGTCTTTAAAATATGACCCTTTATTTGACCCCAGTATTTTCAATGGAACTTCTGTTGCTACTGACGGCACTAGCGGTTACAACGCTCTTGTATATCTTTTTACGCTTAAACAACTAAATGAATGCTTGAGTCTATTTAACTGAGGATTTTGTAATTACATTACAACATCAGTGCTTTAAAAACAACCTTGTGAAATTGGAAATAGTCACATTAGGCTTTCATCGGAAGTTTATCGTTGGTTTTAAACTCTAGCCGTGCTTAGAGCTTATCAGCGATGTTATTTTCAATCAGTACAC